TCCCACATGGGTGCAGAGTCCAATGCTTTAGGCCGTCCTCGACTCCCTTCTCAGGCCACAAGCAGGGAGCTGGATGGGAAGCAGGGCCACAAGGATCAGAACTGGTGCCTATATGGGAAACTGGCATATTCAAGGTGAGGACTGTGGCTACTAGGCTACTACACCGGACCAATTGGTATAATTTGTGTGACATGTCAGCCTAGCCTTGGACACAGAAAATGCTCAGTGTCATTTCCAACATTGCAGAGGGTAGAGAGAATGCATGAGATTAGCTCCAACTCCACAAACGTAAGACGGAGAGCACCATCACTTCTCCTGATGGGATCCATGCTAGTTCCCTTATTTCAGTACCATATCTAACCAAAAAGAGCACTTCCGTACCCAAAGTGCATCATTATTTGGGGGGAAAGGAGAGGACAGATAAAATAGAAGCTTGCCAGGCTCTTGGTCAGTTCCTGCCACTCTGTCTCCAACATGAACTTCAGACTCATTTTACTGTCCGCCTGTGTGCTCATTCCCTGAACCGTTGAAAAGGTGAGCGTTTTCTCGGTTCCCTGCAGCTACTGTGAGCTCGTCCAACAACCTATGACCGAGAGAAGGCGTGATCCCTGTCTCTGTTGCCCTTGAACTCCAGCTTTCCTTAGCTTTTTAATGCCTTGGCCTTAGTTAACCTGCACTACTGTGGCTGCTCAAAAATTCCCTCCTGTACTCACTCTGTTGCTACACCAGAGCTCGGCTTCCTCTGGGCAAACATGCCAGCCACTCTTTATTCCAAGCTAAGATGTAAGATAAAGAGAGAAAACAAGATGAAGCGGTATCCCCAAGAGCCTGCCACACTCAGACACTTTATTCGGAGCAGTACCCATGCAACTCCTTGAAATAAATACCAACACCAGGTCTGAAGACCCAGAGGAATGCTAAAAATGCAAGGGCTCTGCCTTCTCCTTGTGGGAGTACTGCCCACGAGCAGTGCCATCTGCAAGTCCGCAAGACCTGTTCCAGCAGTTGCCAGGTTCTGCCAAGTCCACATGGGCTGTTGCCCTTCACGCGTCAGTGGTCGTGCAGGACTTCCTTTCAGTTTCCAGCCCTGCCAAGACAGTAACCTCTCCTGAGGCAAAGCGGCTATCTGTACACATAGGTACACACTAAGAATAGCAGTTTGAGTGAATGCCATTATCTAATCAATGTCAATACTGGCTACATATTAGATTATTTTGGGAGGCTTTAAAAATTTAGAAATTTAAAATACTGAGACACAACATGGTAAGCTGCCATTTGCAGCACCCATACCCTACTTTGGGGCATTGGTTAAAACACTGCTTCTGACCTGGCTCCCTACTGAGCTCCTGGGCAGAGCAAATGCAGTCCCTGCCAACGCTTGGCAGTCGCAGACTGAAGACGTGGCTCCTGGTTTCAGCCTAGCTCAGCTGTGGTCGTCACAGCCACCTGAGTGGTGAACAGAAGAGGGTCTGCCTCCTACTCCTCCTTTCAAATAAATCTTTTTTTAAAAATTAATGCAGCTGATGTCAAGGCTCTATTCTGAGAGGTTCTCCTTGCTACTGGTCTGGGAGGGCCATGAGAACTGTGGTGTACTGAAAGGCCACGAATAATTCTGGTCTCACTCCTTCCCTCAAGGACAGCACTAAGTCTAGATGTGTGATTTGCATGCGGAGTCTCCATTCCACACACGGCAGCTCTCCCCCAAAGCCCAGGCCTCCCTGGTTTGCTCCCTGAGCTGCCATTAGAGAAAGAGCAAAGGCCAGTCCCCTGCCACGTCCTTCCACCTTCTCCAGCTGTGATGGACTTTGCTTTACTAGTGACGTAACACAGCAGCACGTCACAGCCCTTTGCTGCTCCCCGGCTCTCATGCTACAGCCGCAGAAACTACCCTGAGATCAGCGTACAGCTCTGCCCATCACCTCTGGGTTCTTATTCCTTGCAGGAGGTATAACTCACAAGGAGTAGATGGAACGAGAGGGGACAGCAGAACTAGCAAACAGAATTTTAAAAGGCTCCCCCAGCACTTTCTCAGTTTAGAAACTGTGAACTGCCAAGCACCATCAGCCTATGCTTTTGTAATGCCCGTGCCATGTTTTACATTACTGTCTCCCCATCCACTGAACTGTAAACACTCAAAAAACCAAAGCAGTGGCTGTACTTAGTAGGTGCTCAGAGAAATGCCTGATCAGTGATCCACCAAATAAACCCCCACGTGCAGGAGAGCTGGTTCCCTGGTGAGAGTGGGAAGGACCCAGTGTGCTTTCCCTGCTCCGGGCCCACAGTTCACAGGCGTAATTGGAGCCTGAAACAGGAGCAGAGCAACAGAACTCACAGTCTCAACATTGCTTTTAAACATAGCTTTTCTTCTTAAAAAGTCATCTAAGCATTCACCATCTCCTTGTATTCCACGTCTGCTTTCTTTTAGACCTCCCACATAGCAGCAAGCCCATGATTCCCAATTGCCCCCTTAGTCTCGTCACCATTCCTGTTTTCCAGCTCAGCAGCAGCCTCGTTGTTATGCCCCTCCTTACAATAACAGTTAGAAATTTTGAACTGCAGCATAATTTAAAAGAGATTAGTCAACTGTACAGTAAGTCCTTCTTTGCCCATTTTAACTTCCACAGTGTTTGGAAAGTTCTGAAAGCTGCGACCACATATCCACAAGGCCTTCTGAGTAATGCTATGTTTATCTTAGAATTCCAGCCTACATGGTAATTGTACACTGCCTGTAGCAGATGCAGCCAAGAAGTCTCAGTAATGATAGGGTACCATGGACTGTGCTGCCAACACAGGACTCGGGCCAGATGAATGTGGTGCCTCCATTCTTGAGGACTGGACTTCCAAGAGGAGTACACAGCAAGAAGATGAAAGCCAACCCACCTAGTCCACCTGACACCTTTGAAAACCAGGGGCACTTTCCTAGGCAGCATTAATCAGTACTCAGAATTTCCATCTGGTAGCTCTCCGAAAACAGGATCTGCTACAGGAGCAGGCATTTGAATCTCAAGGTGCTGCAAAGGATGATGCAGAAGATACTGTTGCAGCAGCATAGCAAACCACTTGTGAGTTGAAGTTTGCCAGTGCAGTAGCATCGGCCTGCTAACTAGAACCTTTATCCTTTCAACTTAAGGCTATTTTTTCCAGAATGGATTCCCTGTTTAGAACCATGGGTGCTCATTAAGAATACACTTTCCTGAGCCCCAGATCAATACAGCATGATCTCCAGGGGTGACACCTTGAACTTCTCAAGCCACTCAGCTGATTCTTTCAGCCCTAAAATTTCCACTGCTGCCTTTAAAGTTCATGGTTAAACTTAAAAAAAAAAAAGGCAATGACTGTTAGCTGGAATTCTTCATTTTCCGTGATTGGTCATCAAGTTTTTTACATAGTAATTGGTAAGAACTAGAGGAGTCCAGTACCCAAGGAAGAATGACACAGTTCAAAGGAGAAAGAATATAAGTAGAACAGCCAATAAAAAGGTGTATTTACTTTGTGTTCCATGTTACACAGTCATTTATCATTGTTTAGTTTAATCCAGCAAACATGAAAGTCAAAAAGTTTGTGGGAAAATCGAATTACAATCATTAAGTTTTTTTCTTACACGATATGCTTTCTCTGTGAAGTTTTTGTGGACCCCTTATGTATTCATCCCTTCTTCCATGAGCCATACATTAGCATAATAATAATGCAGAATCACTGTCCTTGAGGTTTTTCTTTAGATTTACTTACTTTTATTGGTAAGTCAGATGTAAAGGGACAAGGAGACACAGAAAGAAAGCTCTTCCATATGCTGCTTCACTCCCTAAGGAACTACAATGGCCAGCACTTAGCCAATCTAAAGCCAGGAGCCAGGAGCTTCTTCTGGGTCTCCCAAACGGCTGCAGGGTCCCAAAGCTTGGGGCTGTCCTCCACTGCTTTCCCAGGCCACAAGCAGGGAGCTGGATGAGAAGTGGAACAACCAGGACATGAATTAGCACCCACATGGGGTCCTGGTACATGCAAGGCAAGGACATTAGCCACTAGGCTACCTCCCAGGCACTGTCCTTGAGGAGTTTACAGTTTGTATAGGAGTCTATTACATTGGTAATTTACCATGTGGGCAAAGAGATGCACACAAAAAATATTAGCGGCTAAGATGCAGGGACTGTAATGGGGACTTGGCTCCTAGAGAAGGAAGTGCCTCAGTAGGAAAATAGAAGTTAGATTTTGGGGTGTGTGGGCAGGGAGAAGGAAGGTGACTGCTGAGGAACAGAAAGTGATTTAGAAACTGGGGAGAATGGAGCATGTCTCCAACAGAGTGACCTACTTGAACACAGCTCCGAGTCGTAAAGCAGGATGGTGCTTTATAAATCAGGATAGACAGGAATTCAGGCCTACTCGCTCGTGGAAGTGCCAGCCTGGGTAAGTGGAGGCAAGCGCAGAGAGATGTGCATGTGGGGACTGATTACAGGAGGCCTGACTCTGTCAGGCACCTAGGAGGATTCCAAGGTGAGAGCCTCAAAATATTGATCGTGATAGCTGCAAAAAATGCTACAGCTTACTCGTGGACCCTCCCTGGGATACTGTGCATGTAACTGAAGTAACTCATAAGTTGACCATACTATCAAATTATATCAAACAGACGTCAGTTTGTTTTAACGTTCAGCATGGAGGGATTTATATAAAACATTAATGAACTCCAGAGAGAGAGAGATTGGGAATCAAGTTGAGAAGGGTTGAACTCTCATCCTATATCCTTTGACACTGAATTTGAATTCCTTATCATGTGTATCTATTACCTTTAAAGGAGAACGAAAACAAAAAATTTGGCATGTAGCATTAAGGAGTTGGTCTGTCAACATAACAGTGATTTAATGTATATTAAACGAAAGGCATGCCTTGTTCACCCAGCAGTGATGGAAGGAGTAATATTAGAATAGTATGACTGTGATAATCTAGAAATATCAGAGTTGCACAGCTCCTGTGTACACCCTCTATAAATATGGTCTTTTTCTTTCCAGTTTGCAGCTCATCTTGTGAAGATGAAATACCCACGGATCTGTATTCTGGATGGTGGCATTAATAAGATCAAGCCAACAGGCCTGCTCACCGTGCCATCGCCTCAGATATGAAGAGCCTGGTGTACAACATGCAATGGCGTCCCAAGCATGCCAGAGGACAGAGTGGCAGCAGCACGCAGCAGCACAGCCCTCCCTAGCCATGCCAGCCATGACAGACCAGACATCCAGATTGTTGTATTTCCACAAAGCATTGTCACAAATCATTTTTATATCTCATGACTCAAATAGTCAACTATCCTGGCAAGAAACTTGACTGCACATGTAGTGCCGAAAGAATTTTCTTAACAGTGAAATCAGAGCATGCATTTTTACCACACAGCCCCATGAAGCCGGAGGAATTCAGCTGACATGACAGATTTGCGTTATCAAGAAATCCCACTTGCACTGAAAAGGCTGCCCGGCATCGCAGTGAGCAGCAGTCCCAGCCTCGCATCGCTCAGAAATACAGACTTGATGTGGGTCGAAGGCCTCTTTCCATGGAGAAAATTAAGAAGTTATTCACAGTGCATTCCTAATAAATAAATCTAACTGTTGTTACAGCGTGTCTGTGTGTGCAGAGGGAATAGTTTGACCTACTGCATGAAAAAGTGGTAGTTTAGTCCCAAAAAAGTGAAATTCAGAAACCATTCATGTTAAGTGGGTTGTCTATTGAGCTCCTATAGCCAAGAAACCAACAATAGGGGCTTAACCAAGTGCCCTGGCTTCAGTCAGGCTAACAGCCCAGGGCTAACAGGGTGGTTTCTGTCGTTACATTCTCTAATCACTTTACCAGCCATACCACAGGGCTCCCATCTCAAATATGAAAGTGGCTACTCAGCTCTCGTCATCACATCTACATGTAAGAAGGGCTTCGGAGAGAAAGCGGGGACAGAAATAGGAAAGAAAGAGAAAAGAAAAAGGGAGGCTTACCACTACCCTTCAAAAGCACATACCCAGGAGTTGCATGAATTCCTTCTGCTTACATAATCATGGGTGAGAACTTAGGAACTTTGCTGCATCATACACATGGAAGGAAATCAGAATGTACTGTTTGGTCAGATGCAACTGCCCCAGCTAAAAAAATGCACTGCTGTGTAGGAAGACTAAAACTCCCCGAGGGACAGACTCAGCCTCTTCCATATGATTTTAGAATTTAACTACTATACTTCATTGACTCTAAGATATATCAAAATTATATATGCCATGAAGATAAAATATAATAAACTAATATGCCATCAATTATAAAATGTGTTCCCATTTCAGAAACCTGGAAAATAGGCATCTTATATATTATTTGAGTATCTTCGATTTTGTTTAAACTAGAAAGTTGTCATTAATCTGTAATGTATATTTGTATTCAATGTTAAGGCTATTGAGGTAGGGAAATTCAGTAGACACCTCAACCCAACCTGCTGGATCAAAGATTTGGTATCATTGTTACTTATGTTGTAATCTTTGCATCTCCTTTTTTATTGAGAAGGTCAGAGACCATATTGTCTTATTACCTTTAGCAACCCACTACATTGAATATTTCCATTTAATATAAAAGGAAATTGAATCTCTAGGGAAGTTAGAATCTGTGACTGGAGGAGAAACAGCCCATGTTTTTTTTTCAACTGCCTCACTCATCTAGTACCTAATAATATATTAGTAAATTAGATAATTCAGTGAATAAAGAAAGGATTTCTACATTTATGTCCAGATATGAAATTTGATCAAGAAATCAAATTAGATAATTCCTAACATAAGGTTGTTGTACTCTTTTGCAAAACATAAAATGCTATATTTGCAAAGAATATTTAAAATGTCTAATACTTATCCAAGATTGAGAGAAGGAAGTTCTTTGATGTCAGAAACGAAGAGGAATGCAAGGCACAGCTCATTTCTCGCCTGGGTAGTATGCACTGGTCCGGGCCTGGGAACGGGGGTTGTGAAGTGCACATCCGGATAGAAGAAAACATCTTGAGCCTTCTGATGTTTCCATTGGTAACTATCCACCAAGCCCAAGATAGAAAATTATTGTGTTTGTGATATTTTTCAGTTTGAGCATTCAATGACAAACATCCCTCATAATTATCATCTTAGATTTTGTGTGAAAAATGGTAAAATCATAAAATTTAACTGATACAACTTTTAGATTTGTAACCTAGTTTTATCTCATGTATTGTAAAGAGTGCACATTGTACATTATTGGAAAGGTCAAGTTTTCAAAGCTCACATACATCTCTGTCCTGAGTGACTTTCTTGTTGAGGTCTTAGAACAGGTGCTTGTGAAGAATGAGTGTGGATCTTGATCAGTTCAGTGTTCTATAAACAGCTTATGGCATGCATGGTTTCTGCTGTGACCTCAGGCCCAGGGTTTGTCTTGAACTGTTATTCTTTACTGTATTTTCTCATTCTGTTCTGGGTGCCTATTTTCTGTTTTACTGACCATAGCTTGTACATCATGGTGTTCAGTTTGTGTGCTCACTCTAACCCACAAACAGTGAGCAGACAGATACCAAGGCCCCTGATCACCAGGGGTCCTGGATGCTTTACATTGATCCTCCGAGTCATGTCCTTTCTTGGCTTAAAATTAATCTTGGAGTTAGAACAAATGCATTTAAAACATTAGATCAGATTTCAAATGATGCTTCTAGCCATACTGACTGATTCAGTTTCTGAAATAGCTAATACACAGAAATCAGAATAAATGCTGGCAAGGATGTGGGGGGAAAGGAACCCTAATCAACTGTTCGTGGGAACATAAACCAGTACAACCATTATGGAAGATCGTATGGACATTCCTCAAATATCTAAAAACATATCTACCATATGACCCAGCCATCCCACTCCTAGGAATTTATCCAGACAAAATGAATCAGCATTTGAGAGAATTTTCTGTACCTCCATTTATTTAACAGCTCAGTTCACACTAGCTAAGATGTGGAATGAACCCAGATGCCCATCAGCTGATGACTGGATAAAGAGAATGTGGTGTGGAGACGGAGACACAAAGAATAAAATCTTTCCTTTTATAAACCGTTCAGTTGGAATCCAGAATACTTAGTGTAATAAGCTAGTCACCAAAAAGACAAATATCTCATGTTTTCCCTGATCCATGATAACTAATACATAGAGTATGGAGGGTAAAACTGTAACATAGGAGTAAGGGTGACATCCTGGAATTTGATTCTTTACAACCTTTTGTTTATATCCTGAAGAGTTGTAGGCTTTTTAATTATTGTTCTTGTTTACTATGTACTGATATTTTTACTTAATAGTGTTACACCTGTGAAATGTGAAACTTTTCATTTTATATAAATAACAATTAGAAATTACATTTCCAAAATTCCTAGAAATGAGTTTTTTAGAAAAAGAATACATGACCCATGTTCTTTTTGAAAAGCCAATAGGCCTGTGTCTCAACAGGCTAATCCTCCACCTTCAAGTGCCAGCATCCCATATGGGCACCGGTTCATGTACTGGCTGCTCCACTTCTAAGTAAGCTCTATGCTTTGGCCTGGGAAGGCAGTGGAGGATGGCCCCAGGACTTGGAACCCTGCATGGAACTCCAACAAATAAAGGATTGGAAAAATATTTATTTTTTTAAAAAATCTTCTTAAAGACATTAATGTGATCAACAGCATCAAAACTTAAAAGAATCTGTAGAAAGAAAATAATTTTCTCATTAACTCTGGAAATACTTATTTTCACTACTGTTAGTTTTTTCACTCCGTTATACTGGCATATTTTCCATCCCTTAGGGTACTGAATTTGGTAATTATGTCCTACAATGTGCTGGTTCTTAGTGACTTGAGAGCTGACTGTGCCCAAATTTTCTCAAATCTCGAATGACCTCACAGTGGTAGCTTACAATATGCCATATCCATGGAATTTAAACTATAAAAATAGGCAAATGTCACAAATAGGTCTCATTTTATTCTGATATCTTTTACTAATTTTGGAGAGCCTGTAATTAATACTAGCACATTATTGGTTTTAACCAACCCAGAATCATTATATTATCTATACATTTTACATCAAGAAAGTAAAAGGAACGTTAAAGACTATCCAGTCCAGCCATTAATGTTCAAAAACAATAAGAAAAATCCAAGAATTTTGTGAAGATAATGTAAATAGTCAAAGGCAGACTCAACATTACAATCCATCTTTGCAAATTCCTACCTATTTTTCTGTTCATTATAAGAACACTTCAAAAAGTGTGTGGAAAATGGGACTTAAAGATGAGTTTATTTTTATGCAAAGAAATTCTTTACAATATGTCCGGACTTCAAATTTGGATTGGCATCAAAGTAAACTCACACTTTCATCATTACACAAGCTGAAGTACCTTTACACAGGCAAAGATACCAATTTTGATCCGTTGCACAACTACTCTAGGCCAACTGTGGATTATGATACATGAGATACAAAAATGAAGCAATGAAAATGTTTAAATTGGCCATTGTCCCTATTATGGGAAATGCTACTGAAATTAGAGAACATATAGCTTCTTACCCTGTTTACAAATTCATAAAGATTTCTAAAACAAATTCATTATTTCCATGAACTCATCCTGTGGATTAAGTTACTTTCTCGCCTTCAAGACATTACCAAGAAAAAGCCCACTTGGATAACCATGATCCTTGGGTCTACAGTAAAGCTCAGACAGGTTAAGGTGGCCCTCAAACTTAAAACAGCAGCTCTGAATGATTGGAAAAGATGCTTGCAGCAGTTTCCCAGCAATAAGGGAGGCAGAGTGGTGGGCTTCATGGACCAGCTGATGGCTAATTTTCTGGTTCCATTAACCACGAAAGAGAAGTAAATACACATCATTTGGGTCATTTGCTAACTTACAAATACTTTTTTCTATACTCTCAGATAATCTACCTTGATCATATATTACTTGACTGATAACCTGTCTTTTCTAAAATTATCTTGTAAGATCATTAATAACCCCATACATTGTGCATTCATAGTCATGGATTCCACATTGGGTCATTAAGGAGTTGAAAGGCATAAAAGGAATATGACCACTGGATTAATGTCAAATGACACAGAGGGTGATCCACAACCAAAGAAATCCCCCACCGCCCGTAGTTACTGAAGTTCTTTTCACCATCTACGCTCGGGGAACAGTGTCAGTGCTGCAGATTAAGCTGGTGCCTGTGAGGCCAGCAATCCACATGAGCCGCAGTTTGAGTCACAGCTGCCCCATTTCTGACCCAGTTGCCTGCTAATGCACCCGGGAAAGCGAGAGAACACTGCAGGTGGAAGACCCAGATAGTGTTTCTGGCTCCCAGCTTTGACCTGGCCCAGACCTGGCTGTGGGGATCACCTGAAGAGTGAACCAACAGATGGAAAATATCTCTATGCCTCTCCCTCTGTCTCTCTGTAACTCTGCCTTTCAAAGAAATCTGTTAAAGTGTGTTTCTTAAGTCTCAATGTTTATACAAAGCATCAATTAAGCATGACAACAGGATAAAACATCTGACTACATGTGTACCCAGTGTGACATTCAACTCCTTATTCTGAGCCTTCTCCCTCTTAGCAGAGATGCCTGAAGTTACGCCGGCGTGTCCTCTCCCATCTGCCACCTGCCCGGGCACTGCTGCTCTGCAGACCTTCCAAGGATTGGCTGTGGTAGAAAAGCAGACTGACACATGGTGAAACAGACAAAATCCATTTTGGGATTTTTATCCTTTTACCTCTTTGCAGGGAAAAATGGTTTTCACAAGTATTAATTCAGAACCAGAAGGTTAGTTTGAGTAATTAGTTTTACCAAGTCAATCTGATAGGGGCTAAACAATGTCAAAAACATTGAGGCTCCCTTTGGTTAGAACAGTTCAATTACCACACAGTTCTGCTGAATTATGGTTTATTTTTCATTTGCAACATTTCTCTTACATTAACCTGTCTGAATATCAGATGGACATCCTGGCTTGTGCCACGGTCTGATCCTTATAAAGAAGCATGGGGGTTTCGTTTTCCTGTTCCAAATTTTATCAAACATCCCTCTATTTGGTAATGCTAAATTACCCTGTGTGAATACTAAAGAAATAGGACAGCATCTCAGAAAGAAAAAAAAAAAAGCACAGAAACTAGTCTGTATTTCACACAAGGCATCTATAGTTATTCATCACTATTTTTAAAAAAAGATTTATTCTATTTTTATTGGAAAGGCAGATATACAGAGAGGAGAGACAGAAAGGAAGATCTTCAGTCCGATGATTCACTCCCCAAGTGGCCGCAATGGCTGGAGCTGAGCCAATCCGAAGCCAGGAGCCTCTTCCAGGCCTCCCACACGGGTGCAGGGTCCCAAAGCTTTGGGCCATCCTCGATTGCTTTCCCAGGCCACAAGCAGGGAGCTGGATGGGAAGCAGGGCTGCCGGGATTAGAACCGGCAGCCATATGGGATCCCGGGCATGCAAGGTGAGGACCTTAATCACTACACCATCGC